ACACACACACACACACACACAGGCGACGAGAAGAAATAATAGGATATGAAATTAATAATGCTGAAGTGGCCACATCAAACGGTGGCAGCAAGGAGCGCAGGGGAGGAGGGTACTTAGCTTTTCACTCCGTCAGTAAAAAACAGGATGTCAGCCTCTAAACACAAGCATTAGCCTGTGAATGCGCATCAAAATGAGCATGTGAAGTGTGTGTGTGTGTGTGTGTGTGTGTGTGTGTGTGTTTTCCCTCCAGGTAAAAGGCTGCGATGCGCTCTGGTTACAAACAGTGAAAGGACGACAGCGCTTGTTTTCCCGTGTTTGTTCACAGCAGCGTCATATGAAATAAGGAAAATAGAAAACTAGCTTTTAAAGCTCTGCCATTCTCTCATCTTCTATTGATTCCATTCTTTTCACAGATCTGTAAAGCTAATGCAGCTCTTTATCCACCTCCCTCTGCCATTCACCCATCTGTTTGCCTTCTCTGTCTGTCCTGTAAAAAAATCAAACTATGTGCACAAACATCCCGCCGTGTGTGTGTGTGTGTGTGTGTGTGTGTGTGTGTGTAGGTGTGTGTGTAGGTGTGTGTGTGTGAATGTTTGGTGTTCCTGCAGGTTCATGTCGACTCTTCTACCAAACCTCTGCACAGAGTGAGATCTGAGCCGGACGGTAAACACAGATGAACGTGTCTCACAGGTAGTAGAGTTTTCCTGCTTCGGCCTTGTCCAGCCTCCTGTAGTCGATGCCGGCGTCCAGGCAGACGCAGTGGCAGTGGTTCTGTATGCAAACACAAACACACAACATGCAAATGAAACACCTGTCACGCTTTAACACAACGCCTATCCAGCATGAACAGGCAAGAAGTCGATCTGTCTGAAGTCTGTATTATCAGTTTGGTTTAAAATTATGACCCTGAAGTTTTGGTACTTTTTATGGAACACATCTCCTCACGGTTCAGAAGTGGCTCAACCGGGTCCGTCCCACGACACCGCTGCAGGTTGTGGTCCAGTGCAAATCACAGGGCGCAGCGGGACGGACGCTAAATACGCTAACTTTTAAATATCAACACTCAATCTGCGGGCCGCCGCTCTAGCTCACCTGGTTGAGCTGCTGACCCACGTTCAGGAGCTTTAGTCTCCAATGCAGCAGCCATGGGTTCGAATCCCGCTCATGGCCATTTGCTGCAACCCCTTTCTCCTCCCCCACTTTCCTGTCTTTCCTTTAACTGTCCTATCTAATAAAAAGGCAAAACGGTCAAAAAAAAAAAAACCCACCAATCTGTGGAAGGATTCACCTCGTTTCTCATACAAATGCTGCATAATTTGAGACTTCTGTCTGTTAGAGTCGGGCCCGTTTCTTTAAAGGCTAAAGTTCTGTCAATAACCCGGATGTTGGGATTATTTGTGCAGCAGCTCGTTCGTCCTTTGCTCAAGAAGTTCATTTCCGTTATTGTCGACAAACTCCAGGATTACTTCCCCAAACTGCCCACGCTGCTCATCCCAGAATGCATCTGGGCCCCACGAGGATGGAAACTTTAAGAACATCCCAGAGTTTTTGTAATAAATAATTCCTAATGGCATCGTAGTTTTAACCAAATGTGACTCAAACTAAATTGAAACTGTGCATTTGTTTGATCATTTAATGTGCATGTAGTCATTTCTGCAGCACGGAGGAGTGACTTCATCACACTTTGGCAGCAATAATAAATTCAAAAGTGAAAGCTTTTCATGTCAACAAGAAGAAAAACTGACATATAACCAGGCAAAGGGTTGACAAGGAACAGCTTCAGCACATTTATTAAAGCCAGATCTGAGCTTTTATGTTGATTAGAGCTGATTATTGAGAGAAATATTCAAATTACACAACGGGAATATTAAAAATATAGAAATGCATTGAAGCTTAGCAAGATATCAGATTAATGTTTAGATGATGGAGGCTGCACCCTGATGTTGTTGCTGTGAATTAAACTGTTGTGTTTCCAGATGATGTGCTGCTGCCTCAGTAATAAAACAGCCTCCGATGCTCTGCGCTTCTCTGCTGCACGCCTTTAATGTGAAAAGTAGACAATGACAGCTGAGTGTCGCTGCTCCCTGCTCGCGCTAAATAATAAAAACGGAGAAAGAGCAAGCGAAGAGCGAACAAATAAAATGACGGGGCATCGCAGAAGGCAGCAGGCATCTTCCTATCGCTGACAGCTCTCAGATCCGGTGTCACTTCTTCACGGTTTATTGAGCCCAGCTATTGTTTCGCAGCTATTCAAGTGCGTTGCCGCGAGGTCGGACCTGCGACGCGGGGTTCAAACTTTTCCAGATAGTGTAAAACGTCAACAGGATTCATGTCAGGGAGGACAGCACAAACTATAATCATCATCTCCACTATTCTATCAAAGAAAGGACAGGAATTGCATATCATCCCATCCGAGCCATCACCGGCTGACTGAGTATTCAGCGACAGCTCCAGTAAATTATGAAATCAGTGGATTTCTGCCACTGGCCTCCTTAAGCTGCAAGATAATTAGTAATCATCACAAAGCAAGGGGACGGAAATACTCTATTCTTCTCTGCTGTCAACTTTTTATCTCCGTGTCCGCTCACACAAACGGGGTTCCCACTCTGAGCCAATTGGCTGAATCAGGCTTAATAACAACCTGACAAACTCGCCCTCCCCCACGCACAAAAGGGAGGTGTCATTTCATCAACCTGCTGTGACCCCACCAACGGGTAAATAGTCCCTCCAAAAAGGAGGAAGAAAAAAGAGAAACTTGTCACTATAGCGGCTGCATCATTAGAAGCCGGGTTTGTCTTCCTCTCCTGCCATCTCCTGCTCCCTCCCTTTGTGAGCCGCCGCTACCTTTCGGCGAAGACGGCTGATGCGTTCCTTGACGGAGAGGCGAGGTGCAAATAAGAGAGGGGAGAAGACGGAGGAATGGAAACACAATCAGCGGTGATGATTCCATTGGTTATTTATAATCAGATGAGGCTGAGGCCTCGCGGGTCATTACTTGATTATCCATCTTGAGGGGATTGTCAAGTTCTCACTCCTCCTAGATTTCATCCGCCTACACATTGTGGTCTTGCGAGTCCCCCCTCCACCACCACCACCACCACCACCACCACCTCCTCCTCCTCTCCACGCCGTCCTCTCAGTCCTAGTCAGTGTACTTTCCAACTTTCAGTCTCATCTCAAGCTGTGGCTTCGGTTTAACATGTGAATCCTGCTGCACGGTTACAACACATCCACCAGATAAAGCCTCTCTCTCAGCGCTGAGGCGACCAGCCAGCGAGCTGATAAACTGATAGAATACCTGTGTGAGTATTTACATGACTGTTCATGTATTTGTGGTGATTTGTGGACAAGAGTTGAGATCTACAGCACAGAGGAGGACGATAAATCAGACTCTATTGGCCCAAACAAGCAGCTCAGAGGCTCTAAGTTGGGCTTCGGGTTTTACAGACTGAAAATCAGCTTCGAGTTTCACAAAGATTAAGATTTGATGCTGTTATTTCGAAAACTCCACCGACTGAACCAGAAGACCTCGGGCTCATACAAACTGCGACGGTCACTTACAGATAAAACTAAAACTGTCTGTTTTTTGGTTTTTTGTTTTCATCATGAGCCGAGGCGAACGTGGAGTGGGCTCCAAGAACCGCAAATTACGAGTTTCACTACTTGCACATTCGGACGGAGGAGAGGGGTGGGACGCGAGGCAGAGATGACAGACGTGAGAATCAGAGACTCTTTAGAAGAAAGTCATCCAAACACATGTAGCTCCAATCACGTCATTGTCCGAGCTGTCCGCCGCTGCCTCTGGACGGCCGTTTAGCATAAAAACAGAGCGCTGGCTTCTTTTTTTTCCTCCTCTCTGCTCCCTCCACGACATATCTTTCTCTATCCTTTACTCCTCAAAAAGTTGCTTTTGAGTTTTTCAAAGAGCGCGGTGCCATTGAGCTGCAACAAAAGCCAAGGATAGCTGACTATTGGGCCCTGATGAGGTCCACTCCCTCATTACCCGGCAGCAGAAAACATTTGATGCTTTTTTTGTTTGGCCTGGAGAATTGACCAGGCCTCAAAGAAATGCAGGGTGGGAAGGCTGAAAAAGAGACGAGGGGGGTGAGGGGGGAGAGGGGGAGAG